ACTCACAGTGTCTGGCAGTGAAGTTTTTAGGAATATGAAAAGATGTTTATTGCTTCTGAACGTGAAGTGCATTATGTTAACGCTGAAGTTATTTTTTGCCGATGGTTACCACTTTCTTTAAACGAAAAGGGGTTGAGACCGACAGTGGTGTGTGCGATGGGTCACACGGACACTAGGACCCTACAGGACAGCTTACATTACACAGGCGCGCACACCACGTGGTCATCAGACTGGTTGCTCACGAGATAGGCGCGAGCAAAGCGGGGTGGGGTGGGTGGGGGGTTGTAGTTTCGCGGCAAGAGGGTTAAAAGGGTCAACGATACCCTCCCCTCAACAGTGTGGTGGTTCAAACGAATCGATGTGTCTTAAATAAGGCCATTTCCGTGTTCTTTCCAATCAGTTATTTATTTAGCATTATATAATTCTGGGCTACTGACAGCGCCATTAAATAAACCACACAAATGAAACAACAAACATGATCATGAGATATGTAATAGTAACTAACATTTTCGATCGACAAGCCACTTGCCCTGTCCTTTTCAACTCTTGCATATTTCTTGACTGTCCTAACATTGCTACTAGAAACTACTAGTAGCCTGCATAAAAAAAAAAAACAATTTCAAAATGCAGAGTATCTCTGTGGTGTTCTCGAATCTCACAAATAGTGTCGGTAATGCAGTGCTCTCTTAGTGAGCAGTTTAAGACTTTTTTTTAGAACTGAGTTTGTAAGATAAATTCCTTCATTTGTTTTATATTTTAGGTGGGGATTTATAATTGATGGTAAATAATAAACTTCATTTGCCAGCGGTTGGCATGATAATGGTCTAATTATATTTCCACCGATATTATCTCACAGCAGAATTGTCGGCGTTTCTTAAACAAGACAATGCGTTTATAACACCGACGATTTTGGCCAGCTGCTAAATTATTATGGGTGGATATTAAAACAAGTTGAGTTTTTTGCTACCTTCAAGGATTTTTGGAGTAATTCGCATGAATATTTATGCAATTCTTTTACATAACAGTTTGTTAAAGTATGGTCATCAGCGAAATTCTAACCTCAAATCCTAGAGACGGGCTATTTTTATTCTTATACTTCACAAAGATTGGTCTGTCTTCATAGAAACCTGTCATTGGTAGTTACTCTGAGCTGACTAATCCCGAAAGTTATTTCCGTATAGACGTATTTAAAATGACTTACACATATATTAATTTTATAACTGTTATTGTGTTTATTAAAATTATCTAATTATACATGCAGGCCCATTTATCAATACTTCTTGTTCTCTGTATTTCCTGTTGGCACTTTTTCTGTGGTAGAATTCTTATAGTGTAAACAATTGTGTCTTCATAAAATCTTGTTTTCATGTTTAATATATTACAATGTCATACAAAAATGATGTTTGTAGTAACCAGAATGTAAATACGATACCGGCAGTTTGTTTGTCGGCGACTGATAGGTTTCGTTGTGTTCGTCTGTTTACATATCCAAGTATTTGGACTTTTCTCCATTACCGCTTTCTTCCAGGTGTTGCTTTTAATTAGTTCACACGTACAAAGACCAATGGACAGAATTTTGTGTTCAAAAAACGAAAATTAAGACCATGATGTATGTCTTGGATTTCTCAAATACTTGGTTTGATGGCTCTAATCCCGTTGTGGGCATGTATAGGCCTGTGTTTCTTTGTTCTTGTTGTCCTGTATAGGTAGAAATCTAATGATGGATCGAATCCCCAACTTTAATGAATGAGTAGTAGAGTAAAGAAGCAGAAGCATGGAAGAAGACAATTGACGAACAAGAAGAATCGAGAATTGTCAATGCATAACATTACTTCGTCACTGATTTATGACCGCCTAGGTTCGCGTTAAATCTCGGCAAAGAACATTTGAAATGTTATTGGAGGAAGTGCTGCTGGAGCAGGGTTTTCTCCTCGTACTTCCGGCTTCTCCTTCCAACCACCATTCCTCCAGTGTTTTTTTTTACTAATGTGCTATCATCTTCGTCAGTTGAATGTTGGCTGTTTATGACTGTCAGATTATTGAGGTTATATTTAAAATATCGTCTTTTGCGTTGAATAATCTAAAATGTTCGGATAAAGTTTGAAGAATATCATGATACAAGCATTTTGTGCTATGTGCAATTCCGTCTCTTTCGAAATGGTGATTATAAAATAACTGATAACGCTTCAGACCTCGTCGAGTTTTGTTTCCAATTTTTTTTCTGCAAATGTAATGTCAGCTCACGGCCTCCGCCACGGGTTTACATATCCATATGTTTTTGTCTTACCAGTACTCAGTGAAGTAACTTTATCGTTTCTGTATTATTCTCGCGGTAGCCATGTTATTACTTTCCATTTTAGTTAATTACTCTTGTGGCTTTGATTTTTCTTAACATCGTTTTTCTTTTGTCCCATAGTCGAATAAAATCCAATCTTATTTATTTTACCTGAATTTTAATTTTCCTTCCATTTTTACCTACGTCTTCGAAGTGGTATTTTCCCTGAAGATTTTCAGACTATTTTTTTAACTGACTTGGTGTCTGCTGATTATCTCCTAATAGATAGTGCAGTGTCCAAAATGAACATTAAGACCAGTGGTGGTTGAAAGTAACAAAGAACACATTTTGAAATTCAAACTTATGTAGGATATAAGTAAAATAAAGTTTGTCCCACTATACGCCATGTAGGCGCTTGGGGTGAGTGGAGGTATAGCTCCTCTCTTCCTTGACCTCGGCACAAAAGGGGGTGAGTGGTCAGCATCACGCCCCGGCCGGCTTTACCCCCGGGAAAGGACCCCGGTACCCATTGTAGAGGAGGCTGGGTGGGCCCCAAAGCCGGTCTGGACGCAGAGGCTAGAGGAAAAATCCTCTGCCCCCGTCGGGGATCGAACCCCGGCCGTCCAGCCCGTAGCTAGTCACTATACTGACTGAGCTATCCCGGATCATAATTATGAAGGATATATATCTACTAATCACGCATACATTGTGTTTTTGTGGTTTATTTAAGGACGTTGTCAGGAACTCAAACCATATATCGTCGAACTAATCGTGTCGATGGTTGTTGAACTGTGGACATAAAAGTATATACAAGGGGGAGGGGGTGTCATCCTTGAATTGAATTTCGCCGTTACCAGAGACGCTACTGCTTTGGATTTCTTTGCATTCTGTGCGTAAAATGAACGCAAAGTGGAGAGGTCATCCAACTACGACTGCGTGTTTCACTCTCAAAATCACGTAGTCTTATATTGTTTGAGTGAGGTACAGCGAGTGTAGGAATTTTGATTTCAGATTAATGCGCGTTTAAATGATAATTTGACTAGTTCATTAATTCGGTGGCCTCAGCAGGGAGGAGATAATTGTAATTAATTTAAATTGAGTGGGCTGCATGAGAAGTATGAAGTAGCGACTTGGAACTTGGGAACCGTGGCAGCGTTTGCTTAAAGGCAGGAAACCTGGAGTGCAGGAAAAAGATCGATGTCCTTGGCATAAAGTGGCGGAACCGCGATGAGACCTCGAGGATTGTCCACCGGTCCCATCGCATCGTGTCTGTCAGCGACGCATGCCGTTTGCTTTATAACCGGACGTTGTTACATGATTCGTTACCTGTGGCGGCTGAGGAGACAAAAAGCAGACTAAATGAAGACAAGCATACAGTACTGATACAATCTAAGAATTTTAAACACTCGTAGTGTTACGTTATTATCATCACCAGAGCTTGAAAATTACTTCATCAGATAACACTGAAATCTTCAGCACACCTCTGTTTATATACATGAAAAATGGTTTAATTTTTTGTTGCCAGCTCGTGTCAAAGCACCGTGGTGCAAAATAGCTTATTGTCATGCAAGTAGCTTTATTCATTTCTTTTTATAAAATGGAAGGGCGAGCTTGCTTCGTACGTTATATCAGTTTATTGCTATGGTAACATTACGTATTTCCATTACGGAATGAAATGAAAATGATCGGATAGCTTCATCCAAATACACCACGTAGATAGATGAAACACTTATATTCTCCCCAAAAGACTTTGTTTGAATTTCATTTCAGCCGCGATTGCTGTCAGTCAATCTGCCTACTAGCTAGACGAATTAGGCTCAGTTTTCAGTAGACGCAATGATTGTTTTCGTCGCCACCATTTTATACCGGGTCACTAGGCTCTCCATTTTTCTGTCTAGGATAAATTCAGCCTGAGTGTAAAGATGACCTCCTTCCTTCCACCTCAAAAAGAGATCTAGAACTCGTGGGTTTCCTTCAG